CTTCAATATTCAAAGCTAGAACAGATTTATCCTTAACTTCGCTCATATCTTCCAATTCATAAAGTATACCAACTTGTGGATCCTTTATAAATATTTTTGGGAAATCATCCATACCAGGATTATATTGAAATTTCTCAACAAACAGCATTTGTAATGCAGTCATGCTTATATCTCCGTCATATTTTATTTTCTTGACATCTTTTCCAAGTTGTAAATATAATGTGATCAATTTCTTATTATTCGAATCTAATAAGAAAATTCAATGGATAATTAGCCAAGTCAATTAAGTATAAAAATAAAAATAAAGTACTAATACCTTTAGCATCATCTGTTACATCAAGTTTATCTAAACTAGGTTTGTCGGTTTTGTTATTCGGAGGTACATATTCTATAGGAGATGGTATAGGTGATGTTATAACAGAGATATTGGGGGGTTTTATCGTTGCTTCTTCATGTACCACTTCAGCCATCTCAGCCATCTCAGGTATATTAATCTCAGGTGGTTGTGCAGAAATAATTTTTTTAGACTGACGTAAGTTAGTTCTCTTTCCGGTTCCCCAAGCAGAATATCTTCTTGAAGCACGACGTTCAAGATTATCTCGTTTTAAAACAGATACAGGATCTACAGGACTACTACTACTACAACTATATGACGTATCAGAAGAAGACAATTGATCACCATCTCTATTGTTAGGAGGAAGAGGAGGAGATGGACTTTGATTCACTAAACTGAAAGGTTGGGTTCCATTTATGGGAGACGTCGATTGCGAATTATTATTCTCATAACTGCTTTGCGTCTGACGATATGTACTTTGCTTTGTTTTCAAAGATTGTAATAAGGTTACTATGATGTCTTTAATTTTAGGAAGGTGATTTTCCAAAGACGTTGGGGAAGCTTCTTCACCAAGTGCATCTTCAAGACATACTTTCAATACCTGTGGGATACTCGCCATGTTATTCAACTCCTGTGGAATATTCTCCATGTTACTAATATGAATTCTAAAATACAAAAGTCGAATTTTATTATTATACTTGATTTTTTTGATCTTTAATTTTACCAAATTTCTCACCTCGTGTCTACTCCTGCTTGATCAAATAATTGAACAACATGGTTTAATTCCATAGCTAGCTTTACATAAATATCAGAAACTTGTTGCTTAGACACACGTCCCATAGACCAAGCAGTCAGAGCTTCCAACAAGGATTTGGTTGTTACAAGAAGTTGGGTAATTGTACTTTCCATTGTAGACATCTAAAATGTATTTTTTTTTTTCGTTTGTCAGCGTAATAATTTACCAAAGGCACCTATTATTTTGGGAATATAACGTAAAATTTTATTGTAGTACTAGAATTTTAAATAACTTACTGGAGAGCTTCCGGTACTTCTTCTTTGTTGAGTTGGCGTTGGTGAAAGTTCTCTCTCTCTTTGAAGAGAGGGTGAGGAAGACGGACGACGTTGAGGAGTAGGAAACGGAGAGTTTGCAGACGA